CACCCTTTCAATTCGATCGAATCATATTGCCGGTTCACCAAATGATTCTTGAAATAGGGACAGGTAGCTGATAAAATACATCTAAATTATATAATAACTAAAAAATATATGCACTTACTTTTATAACTGTTCAACAAGTCCAAAAATACAAATAAAGTAACTAATTTCAGATTTAAGAATATAATAATATCAGCAAAATTAATTGATTGTTCCATATTTATCTTTATTTTAAATTACAATTTAACTAAATAGCTTATACTATTTAAATCAGTAAACAGTCAATAGAAAATTATGTATTTACGACAAAGTTAAAATTTTGAAACTTTTGGATTAAAGTAATTTCACATGAATTTATACTTCGAAGTGATGCTATTTAATATTAATATAAACTTTGAAATTATAAAAAAAACTGATAAATAAAAATTATTTTTATTGAATCTCAATTAACAGACCGATGTGCAAATAGTTCTCCATTATCAGTTTTGATCACAACATCTGTATCAATGTTATTCAGGTACATATTTAATAAATCTTCTGCTAATTTACATGAAGGAGTTTTGTCACCAACTGGTAACGATACTGAAAAACTTTAGCATTCATTACTTACTTTGACTGTTAAATATATAATTGTCATTACTTCGACTATTTCCTTCTAGTCAAATATTTTGTAAAAGTAATTTCATTCAAAATATCATTTCGCGCCATCTTTTATTTGATCTGTATTCAAAATTAGTCACTATAAGTAAAAATACAATGCCATCAGGATAGTAAAAAACAATCATTATCACAAATTTTCTATCACTGCTATTATTAAGTGGTACGATTTTGTTCAACTAAAATAATCAGCAGAAATAAAATTTTAATGATCCAAAATAGAATTAATTGGGTAGAAAAAAATTCATTATCCAAATCTTTTAGATCATAAATAAAAAGTTTACCAGTAGAACTTTCATGATTTTGTGCTAAATCTACAGAAGTAAGCGAATTTAGAGATGTCACTGATAATCTTCTAGCCATAATTGCTCTACCACGAATCCCTTCTGGGCCAGGAGTACTGTGCCACATTTCAGTATTAACATTACCTATAATTTATGAAAAATAAGGAAATATAAGTTTAACTTTCAATTAGTTGATATAATTATTAAACTTATTAATATGTACTTTGAAAAATTTGATTGAAAATATAATTTCACCTTCTAAACCAACAAACATTTGAAAGATTTGCTTTTTTGGCGTAGAAATATCAAGTTGAATAGAAGGATTATTGTCAGCAATAATGTCGCCATTTGCAATATCCGATTTATTCATGCAATTAATTGAATCTGAAAATTAAAAGAATTGGATATATTGCAGCAAAAATTTAAATTTTTAAATTATTAACACAACTCTTCAAAAATGGCAAACTTTAGTTTCAGTTTTTTAGTCAGAAAGTTTCAATTATCACTCAGCAATCTAATAATTTAATTAAGCAAGTAATGACATAATATCGATGAAGTGAAATACTGTAATTAATATGGCAAAAAATGCTTCAAAAATCAAGAAATATATCAATTTCAGAAAAAAATAAAGAGAAAATTTTACATAAAAAAGATAGAAATGATAAATAATAAATAAATTGTAAGTCATACGATTGGCAGTAGAATCTTTCGTTTGGCATTCGACAAAATCGTCTTGAACTGATGTCATACAACTTACAGGTAAATCTGAAGATGATGCCGAGGTACATAGTGATGATTCCGCGGTGGCTAATTCTTGAAATGATGTCATTTTTCGCAACATTTCGGTATTTTCCACACTCATATTTACTTAAATTTTATTTACTCAATTATAATTATCCTCATTGCTAATAATTATAATGATAATTATTTTTTATAATGATAATAAATGATAATAATTGTAAGAATGAATCACTGCGTATAATGATAACAAGTAATATTCCCAGGACAAAATGAATTCCACAGCATGTTAGCTTATGCTTTAAACAAATCCAACTAAGTCCTAACATTGAGTCCTCTCCAAAGCATAAAACATTCATAACCGTAAATAGCAATAAAAGTCTT